GAGTACGGCTTTTGGAAGAGTTTCATTTAATACGTCAAAGACTTAGACGTTTGCAAGTTTACATATAAAGTCTGCTATATTAGCGAGTGTAATCCCATTCAACCGGATATAATATCAAAGCATTGGACACACCAAAACTTCAACGAATCTGAAGTTGTGTTGTTAATCTAATACTTATTTAGATTGAAAGTTTCCATAGTGGTGACTTATTTAACACATGGTACGTTAATAGAGTCTGTTCACGTGACGTCATCAAATTCTCAAATCCAAAAATAAAGAGCCACTAAAGGTTTTATCCTCATCAGGCATAAGAGGTACTAAATTTATATCTGTTTATAACTCTCCAGCTCCCTAGCGTCCGTCGTTTGGAAAATAGCGCATTTTGAATTTCGGCTTATGGCGGTGCGTGACATAAAGCTAAGATCGCGTTTGTCGAAAAATACACACTTATCTCGTGATTTTTAGCCATTTTAGGAGTTCAAGTATTAAGAAAAATTCTTGTGTAAATGTTTTTTGGTTCGGTTCAGATAATCAGTCGACTAGATAACCAAACTAAGTTCTAGATGTTTACACTATTTTCCGGCCGCCATATTGGAGGACTAAGGAGGTCCACCAACATGGCGGCTCCATACTTAGCTCTATAAATTTGCGCGGAACATTTCGACGAATATTTCAACTTTGGGATAACGCACACACCTTAAACTTGGAGAACTGTCGTCCTTATTTATCGTCTATAATATCACAATTTCTTGACTTAATCTACTGAATGGTTTTTGATTTTATTTTTTATTACGTGACAATGAACACACTCTATAGTTATTAGCGGATACTGTGGTGTTTTGAATTAAGTCGATTATTTCAATTCAGGCCCTTGACAAATAAGTAGGGTTAGTTACTTGACTGACATTTCGCAAAAAGGTTTGTTTTAAGTTTCAGCCATCGTTTCGGTTGATAACAGACTAGCCTTATAGTTTACTGAAGTGTTAACAAGTGATTAACAACTGTAAAGTAAATAACAGTAATTTTAATTTTACAGATTGAATATAGCTAGATTTGAGTGCTCTTGTATATACCAGTCTTATACTTTCAAGCACTACAGAAGAGGTCAGAAAAATCCCCAAATTCTATGTTTGTTATGGTGGTTTCCATCTTAAAAATCCTTGATAAATAGTATTACTGGTCAGGTACATCGTCATAAAATGAATGAAATAATAATTGTTAAATTTCATACAATAGCCATCTTTAGGGCTTCTTATAATGTGGCCTCAGCAACGTATTTCACAGTTGTGTAACAAGTAACATACTTTGAATGTGATGTGGTAATTTTGAAACATCATTGTCAAGTTTTAGGAGGAGTGTAACAGTATTATACCTGTCAAGCAGAGAACTGAAATGGCAGGTAAGGTCAACATTCAACTTTATTCATAATCTGACAGACATTCTACTCAGCTGATAAAAACGGATCTGCATGCAGAGAATATGTTTGTATTGTAAAGATATTTATGTGGATACAGATATAACAAACTATATATCTACATGTATGGTTTCACAAACAGCATTACCTCTTATGTCTCACGAAAACAACCAGGGGAAGAATATTTACAGTTGTTTTGGAGTTTTCATATCGCAAAACGTTTGAAGGTGACTGATTTATACTCGAGCGTTTTGCTGAAAGTGATGTTACTTTTATAACTGGACTAATTGTTGTTCATTGTTGTACAGTACGTCAATAAGAGTCCACCCACCACCCCTCAGAAACAACCACACCCTTTAAGGAATAGACCTTTTGAACTTGGGCGGTTTGTTTTCCCATCACAGACCATGTGATATTGACTATAGAATTGATCTTTTATCTAGCTAAAAATTATACATTCAAAGACACGGGACCCCTGCTTAACTGTTTGAAAATTTGAAAGCAACTGAGAATTCTCAAGAGTACCATCACATGGTCTGACTGGGTGACGGCGGCCGCGAACCGCCCAAGCTAAAAAGGTCTATTTATGATAGCATTGCTATTAATAGTGAAATTAACGTGCTAAAATATTCTGTGACGTTCATCGACAATGGCCATGATGACTTCAGTCAGTTACGTGAGGATTTGGCTGAAAAAAAACTGCAACGAAAGTCTATCTGAAACGATTTTATGCGGCACAGCCCATGATAAACTTTGGCTCGTAGCTTTAATATAAAAAAAAATGTATATGCAAGAAAGGACGGATAGAAAAACCCATTCTTTACAACCTAACTTCCGTATGAAATTATTCTAGGAGTACAGTTGCGATGGCTACACTTGTTTAAAAACCGCAGCCCTCCCCCGCTGGGACGTAGTTAAAGATCACCAAAGCACAAAAACTGAAACTATTTTATACAGCTGTTAGTACAGTACAATGATAAACGTTTTCTCTACCCGATATACTGAGTTAAATACCTGTTGCAGTGATCTGAGAGTAGGAAATAAATGCAACATTGTTTTAAATGGTTTTATCAACCTTATTAATTGACTAGTTAATCTTATATCCTAATATCCTAGAAAACAAGAAAGCCGCAAGTTCTGCTGAGAAGGATCAGGAAAATAACGCAGAAAGTGGTGTTGCCTCTAATGAGAATCGTCACCAAAGCGACCTATTATATAAGTCTGAGCGATCCACCTGGCAAAAGGTGCAACCGCGCAGTCAGCATTCAAGAGCACAAAGAGAAGGTATTATCAATCACGGGTGTTAATTGATAAAAGAGTACATAATTATTTACATTCCCGAGACTTCCTGGTGTTTTTAACGGTAAATTATCTATTAGTTTGTTTTTGTCTAGGTTACTTCGTCTGCGCAGTAGATCCTATTATTCGTTTTATCTCACAATGAAGTGATGAATGACTATTTTCCCGGTCAAATGGAAAATGGGTGCACAGGAACTAAATTTATTTAGTGCTTTTATTTATAATGCGTCAGACTGACTAGATTTTTTTATCGCCATTAAGCAAGATGTAACGTTTATAAGTGGTTGGGTCTCGTCTGATTTGACCCATCGAAATTCAGGGCACTTGGGTGCGGAATTGTTATTGGAAATGCTAGATTACCTCCGGCGCGTGATGCGACTTCCATTACTAAACCACTCCCTCTTCCCCAAAGGTTCAAAAGTTCAGAGGGAGTTTCTTCAGAAGGTAACAACTATTTTGAAGCAGTTGTTAACATACTTAAAAAGAAAGGTCTGCGTGGGCATAGGTCTTGAATTTTCGTTTTCAAAGGGGACGATTTTCAGTATTATGAGAAGCAACCAGGTGAGAGAAGTGGTCTGAAATCGGCACTTATTCTATTTCAGCTCAAGGGCCAGGATGTGGAAGTCGAAACAACGCGACTACGGCTAGAGCCCCTCGCGGAAGAGCCCAAAGTCGGGGCAGTAGAGGTTGATTAAAGCTAGTTTTCTGGGTACGATTCTCGAAAAAGATTCAGAGAGCGAGACGGCTTGAAACCGAGATACCAAGCAGTCGATTAATTTTATTCAGCCATGTTTTTACATGCGGGTGACTATAGGCAATTTTGTTAGTACTAACAAATGAAGTAACACTTTTCTTACGGATCGGGTGGATCCGCTAATACTTAGTAGTCAGTCAGTCCCTAATCCTATGTCAGAACTATCCTTTCGCTCAGTAT